TTCAAATTATGCACATTTTTAATGTTTCGGATATTTTTTTACCAATTTTTGTTAAGAGACAAAAGAGGTGTAATAATACAATTAATGTTATAATTTATCAGATTAAAATTGACTGTTTGAAAACTACATTTGCATTGATGTTTTTAATTAGTGCAGATTATTTTTTAATCTTTCAATTAAGCAGTTAGTAAGTTTCGTGTTTTATTTTCCTTTTGTAAATTTTAATTTTATAATAAAACAAATTGCTTATTTTTTTGTCATTAAATTTTTTAAATTTGCATTTATATCAGTGAGTGATAGTGATTAATTTACATTATCTCCTCTTTTTTTTCTTTTTTTTCAAAAATCCTTCATCTACGAATCACAAAATGGTCATCCTATCTTTTCAATTTTTTTTAAATCCCTAAATGGTCATTCAATTTTTTCTCTCTCTGTTGATTCAATCATATCAACAATTGTCTATTATTAACATTTAAGGAATTTATTTTAAATTGCATTCTTCTCTTGGCTGTAATGTCGGTATTCTCTTTATGAGCCAAACCAATATACAATATATCAGTATGATTTATGCTTATGTACAAATATCTCTTTGCATTTGCAAAATGGTAATTTTATTCGAAATGTTTCTTGGCAGATGTTTTCCTCCTCCAAACATTATATTCTTTTTTAATTCCAAAATTCACTCCAATGAATTTATTCATTGTAAAAATTAGTAAATTACTATTATAACGAATGCCTAAATGTATTGTCATTTTCATCTGTTTTTTCTTTTTTAATATCAATAATAAATGTATTTGAAAATATTTTTTACTTTCAGAATCTCAGAGAAACGATGTGATGTTTGTTCTACAAAAAGATATTTTGGAGGAAAAAAAAGTGCTTTAAAGAAAAACGAATATTTAATGGTGTAGAATTGAATTTCGTTATATTAAAAAAACAGGGAAATATTTTAATTATTCAATTAAATCATCAATCATTCCAAAAAAATTAGAAAGCTATATTTTTTTTATTAGAAAGCCATATTGGAAATAAATAATATTTGAATGATACCGGTAGTTATTTCATAAATTATCTAATATTAATTTTAAAGCAAATATTCTTATTGCTATTACTGCTATAGTTATTTCTGCTATTTTAATTAACTAAATTGATGTTTAAATTTTTATTTTCTGAAAAAATTAATACTGTCATTTATTTCTTGATAATGATGAATAATTTAAATATTATCACTTCATCATCCTTATCACAATCACTATTGCCATTATTTCCCTTCGTTTCCTCATCATCATTAGCAATATCATCATCACCACCATTATCAACATCGTTATCATCGCCATTATCATCACCAACCAAATCAATAAATCCCAAAGCAATAATGGACCTATGCGGAAAACGACATATAATGCTGGATTACAAACATCCGGAATATGTAATTAATTACCCGGCTACTTTTACCTCCAATAATACGGATTATAAATATCAGGAAAGAAGTTATTTAGCATCGGAAGAAAAGAAGAACGAGCGACAACTTCCTTATCCGTTGGATTTCTATATCAAAAATGATAATCCTTTATTTCAGTAAGTTAAAAATTTTGTTTGTTGCTTTTTTTTAAAAAAAAATTTAATGTTTCATTTTTTCTTGCTTTTTTTTTAAATTTATGTGTGGTTGAAAATACAAAAAAAATCTTATTAGTCAATGGATATAATATGAATTAGATAAGTTGATTTCCGGTTTTCTTGCTTTATTTTTGAACAAATAGCAAAATATATTATGTAATTATAACCTGAATACTAATTAATCAGTTGATTAATTAAATGTCTTATTTTTAAAAAGAATGCCGTGAGATTAAAACAATAGTTATTTAATGGAATTAATTGAAGCGATTGATTTATGATAGGTAACATTTAATGAATATATTCCCTCATAGATATTTCCAGCTAATAATTAATAACATTATTTATTAAACTATGTTAAATTCAATTTACAAGTGAATAATAATTTGATAATTTCCTCTTTTTAAAAAAAGTTTGAAATTTTTCCTTAAAATTTCTTCTTTAGCTGCCAGTGGCTTATCACAACTGATTCATATCATAGTATTGGAGCAGAAATTAAATTTGGCGATGAAAGTGACTATTTTTTGAATATTACAAACGAGAATGCTCTTCAAAAGAAGTGAGCTTTTCTTTTTTTGTTTTCTTTTTGTTCAATAAAAAAATAAAAGACAGCATAAATTTTGAAAAAAAAAATGTATTTAAATGATAAAAATTACAGTAGCATTATTATACGGTTTATTATGTATGAATTAAAATAATTTTGAACATACTTCCATCTTTCATTGCTAAATTCTTTTTCACAATTTATTATTCATTTTGATTTCATAGTGAAAATTTCAAGAAATTTCACTAGCTATGGTATTTTTGAGAAATTTCAATATTTCACTATTCAAACCACAATTAATATCAATGACAAGCGGAAGGTACTTTCCCTATATTTAATTAAATTTAATCTCAATTATATCCAAAACTAATATTATACCAATAATGAGTGAAGGAATGTAGAAACCGTTGATCACAACTATTATTCGAATTCAACGAAATGTATGACTAACTTAACAACTCAAATATTTGATAATTTTAATCAAATAAAGGATGACGAAACAATCCGTAATCTTTGCTAATCATTGATATCAATTCCATCTTACGTTATCATCTTTCCTTATTCTCCTTTTTTTAATATCTGAAATTTAATTTAACTTAATTAACGTGCATTACATCCAATTCCCTAGAGTAATCATTTCTTTGCTTTTTTTTCCTTCGATAACAACGGAAATATTTGAGCTTTTTTATTTATTCAATAATTTTAAGCATATCAGTGAGTGCTCACAAATTAATTTAAAATTGTAAAAACCATTTCCACGTCATCATATTGGAAAGAAATTCGCGTAATGTTTGAAGAAAAATGAAAAAAACAAAAAGCATATTGTTAATATAAACTATTGATTGTTATATTTATGTAGAATTTATAAAAAATAAATTGGAAAAATATGGACAAAAAAGGGAAGATATATATGATTAACAGCCGCTATTTCATAATATCATATTTAAATGAATTCTTTTAAATTGATGGATATATTCACGAGAAATTTATGTAAAAAAAGAATGTAAATGAATTGAAGAAAAAAAGAATAAAAATGGATATCATTAGCATAGTAATATTCATCATTTATCATTCGATAAATTCATAATATTGGATAATATTAATTTAGCAGCAATCTAAATTTACATATTTTAATATAAGTAAGAGTTGAGCAAAAAAGTTTTAATATTTTTTTCATCAATTTTGGAAAGAATTCCTTTTAAATTATCAAATTAAGTTATGATATTGTGAGTGCAGTCGAAATTTTTTCTTCAAAAACTATTCAAACTATCGAGCATATCTGAAATTGAAATATAATTTAAAATTTTATCTGAAAAAGTTATTAAAATTTATCTTCAAAAGAATTGTTCATACTTTTATTTCTTCATAACCAAATTACACTTCACTTTCATTGTTTCATACAAAATGTTTGATTGCATTCTTCAATAAATAAATGATTAATTTGTCAATTCAAATTTTAATGCTAATTTAGATGATATAAGTAGACAATGCTTTTATTTTGTAAACAAAATTTTATTTCAATAGAATTTTCGGTTATTGTAACCGTTTCAAATTAGGACTAAATTTCAAAAAAAAAACGAAACAATACGTTTGCTCATCAGCTATATTTTGAATTTTCAAATTTTTTTAATCAAATGTTTAAATGCTTGACTAAAATTTGCTCACAATTTATTTCCTGGATGCCATCGAGCTTATTCATATTGTACTCACAGATCCCAAAAGAGTCTTACATTTATAATTTGCTTTCAAATTTAGATTTTTTAAAAGAATTTCTTCAACTCAATTTTTTTTAATGTATAGATGTAAGTGGCATTTCTAATAAAATATATTTTTAAAAAGAAAAAAAAAACAAAAGTCAAAAAGACTTATTTATGTTATAGTTAGAACTAAATTTTGCCTTCTTCGTCTTTCAGGATGAAATAACAGTTCTTGAGTGGACAGTTTTTGAGTTTTTTTCCCAGCGAACTTATTTTTTGAGTAAAATTTGGCTGAAAATCATTATTTAAATAAATGATTACTTTCAGATTTGCGTATTTTAATTTACTTTATAATTTACAGTAATTGCTTCGGAAAGTTGATTATTTTACATCAAACAAAAATTCAATATAATTTATTTTAATTTCCTTTTCTTTTCCTCTTTACATTGAACAAAATTTCATTAATTAATTTTTTAGTGATTGATGGATAGACTACTCTTTAAACTTAATATAAAGTTTTAAACTTGATAAAATTTTTTTCATTAAATAATTTGTAAGAATGTAACAATAATTAATTATTTTTATTGGAAATTATTGTGAAATAAATAAAAATGAAATGAAAAAATGGAATATTGCATATCTTTTTTTGTTATGGTAATTTTTTTGATTGCGTGTAAAAGTTCAAGAAATGAATGGCGTATTTTCCGATTCAAAAAGTAAAATTTTGTTTGAAAGAGGAAATATCCCTAATTTGCTTTCCGTTTGTGAAAATGAAAGTATAATGGGAAAAATAAGTTAAAATGGATAAATATGAAATTAATGGATGACGAAGTGAATGGTATTAAAAAAAATTGACGGCAAAAAAAGAGTGCTAAATGCGAAAAGAAATGTTTTTCATTCCGTAATCAATACGTATTTTATCAGCTGCATTTGATAATTCTTGAACTAAATTTAGTATAATTGTCGTATTAAAGTAATTAATTATAGTTGTACGATCAAACAGTGTATGATCAGAAGTGATACATCAGCAATATTAGTACAGTTTCGTGCCAAAAACATCGCTAATATTCAATCGATCAGTCGTTTTTCCGCCAAATTTATCATTTTACCCTTATCATCAGGTGAGTAACATTTTTCTTTTTTTCTCTCGTCTCTCGTTCTCTCTTTCTCTCTTTTTTTTTCTTTGCTCCAAAACTATTTTTGTTTTCAGTTTTCAATCGGTTTTCTTTTTTTTTTGCCCATACCAATTTAACACTTTTTTCTACAATGTTTTCTTAGCAAAAAAATTTGTAAATTAATCAGTTAAAAAGTATCAGCAGTGGAAATAAACTATCGATGTAATTTTTGACTGATTAAATTGTTAAATGATTTATAATAATTAACAAATCGAAGAAGAAAAAGCCATTAAATCGAATTGGTGTATTGGTAATTGAGCTGAATTAATAAAGCTATATTGATGAATTACGAAATAATTAATGCAAAAACCGGAATTACTGCGCCGACTGATTATTTTAGCAAGAAACAAAATGTTAAAATTCGTAAATTATGGAATATTAAGTTACGATGCTCGATAAAATTATTTTTCCGTTTCCATTACTGCATAGTAAGTAGCTGAATTAAAATTTTTTATTTGCATGATAAGAACGATATGAATAGGTTCGGTATATTTATATCATTACAAGTAATCATTCTTACTCTTAATAAGAAAAATGAGAAATATGAAATGAAAAACTTGTGATTATCAGTTTTTAATTTTGTGTTTTTTTTCAAAATTAAAAGCGTTCCTCAATATATGTACTCAGTATATTTGAAAATTTTCGAATTTTTTTCATTCACTAAAAACCAGAAGAATTGCATCGAAGATTGCTAATAATAAATTAAAATTTATTACTTCGTTCCACTATGGCAAAATCCTCTTTATTTATCCTTTTTTATTGCTAATATTAAAATGAAAAGCAAAAATAATCTGCTTATTATGTCCGAAAATGTAAAAATTCAAAAAAGAGAAAAAATTTCCAATAAAGGCTTAAATTCAAAATTCTGTATCTGAAAATTTTTCAATTAAAAAAGCGAAAATCTTCTATAATTGTGAACTTTTCCTAGTTTTATACAAATATTGTTTAATTTAATAACAATATTAATGAATTCAATTCAATATCGCCTGTCCGTCGTTCATTTTCGCTTCTTTTTGATATTTTTAAAACCTAATTAGAATTTTTTTTTGCAAAATTCAGTGATTGCTACTTAATTAGCTAACTGATTATTTTGATTTCTTTTTACAATAAGATAACTGAAAATTAATTTATGTATTTTGATGGATTATTGATTGACTGATTACTTTTTAATAAAATCGATATCCCTATTAATGATTCATGCATGATCATATATTTTTTCAGAAAGATATCATTAATTGAAAGATATCATTAACTTCAGAAAGATATCATTAATTGATATATACATATTGAAAAAATAAATGGCGATAAGCGATTTCAATATAACAAGATATCAAGCTTAAATACTCACTGTCTACCAACGGATTGATTAAATTTGATTAGTGCCTTGACTGCTGACGTCATATTGCTGACACTAATGGATGACGCCTGCAAAAAACAGATGTCTGTTATTCTGATCTTAACTAGCAAAAGTACAGAAAGAGATATCCGGAATTTATTATTCGAAGACTAACCGATCGTAGCATAAGAACAGATATCCGGAATTTGTTATTCCAATATTTAACAGGCAAAAAAAAAACATGAAGACCAGATTTCAATGCTAACTGATTACCGTGCAGAAATATTTTTTTCAGGTTTTCCAAAATATGTAATTATAGGTTTGATTCCATAATATTAATAAATTTTTTAATTTTCAAAGTCTTTAAATTAATTCAACGGTTGGAACGAAATGCTTCACTGAGCTGATTCGTTCCATTAAATTTTTCATCAGAAAATTTATGCTTTCCATTTCTTTGTTATTATTTTCGTTCTAATTAATATTGTGAAATTTAGTTTGAAAAATGCTGCAAAGAAATTTTTTTTTAATTCTAAATGTCGATCCATTTTTTTCCCTTAAAAAAATATTAAAAAAAAAGAGAGCATGAAAAGGAAAATGCATCATTTTTTTCTCTCTTTTTTTTCGTTTCCAGTGATATTTTTTTAAAATATATTTTTAAGGAAAAAGACTGAATAATTTTAGAGAATAGATAAAATTGAATAAATTATTCTTATTCGTTTATCTTTTTTTGCTTCATATAAAATGAAAAGAAGACGCAAAACAATTGAAATTTTAGCTATTACTTCCTTATGTTAAAATTTGCTTTAATAAAAAAATTACAACGGAATAAATTGGTAACTTTTTCTCTTCTCCAAAAAACTAAATTTATTAATATTATGGAATTTTTTTTTTAATTTTTAAACAGAAAAATCTTTTTTATTGGAACAATTTTCCATTTCCTTCATAATTACAAAAATATTATCTAGCATAAATGTAAATCTATTTGAGTCATTTACATTAAGCATGAAAAATGATAAATACTATAAGCCATATCATCAGGATAAAAAAGTTATTCCGGAAATCAGTGAGAAAAAACCGGAGAGCATGAAAAGAAAGAATGCAAGGAGAAAACTGATAATTGAGCATATGAGTAAAAATGATGTTCATGCAATTATTGGCTGTGTGTGTGTGTGTGTGTATGCCATTGTTTATAACTGACTGTAAATGATAGAAATCAACGAATAACATTATAATCTGCGGGATGTTATTTGATTTCACACACGGGCACACATCTACACATCCACACACAACCATAAATACAGATGCACATCCACAAATGCACTTACGCATTCACACGTATACATTCACTCACCCACACGTACACGCCCACCCACCCACACATGTGTACTCACGCGGCGCTCACACATACACACTCGCGCACCACACACCCACACATACGCACCCACGCATACGTACCCATACAATGCACCCACTCATCCACGCTCTTAAGCATATACACACATACAAAAAAAAATTTTAGAAAGATGAACAAAATTAAGAAAACATATATATAATCATTATTACATTATGTAAACATAAGCATTCACTGTTGTGTTGACCATCAAACTTCTTCCTTCTCATATTATTTCAGTTTTTTTTTTCATGACATCATCCGAAATAATTTTTAGCGGAAATTTTCCAAGTAATTCCGGAATTTTTTCAATTATTAGTAAACAATTTTGTGCACAAAATGATTCATTTTAAGTATTATTGATCTTTAGAAAATACTTTTTTTTCCTTTTGAAAATTTTCAAAATTTTATTTTCAACTAGTCAATGATATCATTCCTTATCATTCCATATCAATGTTCATTACAGATCAAAGTGTCGCTGCAATTGTTGCGCTTTCGATACTTCTGATAACACTTACCGCGGTGCTTATCGTTTTTGCAGTCATCATCTATTTGTATTGCATGAAGAAGAAATTATTTTCACAGCTTCTAGCAATTCTCAGGAATAAAAGTTAGTTTAATTAATTTGCTCAATGAGGTAACCATAAATTGATTTCGTGAAATGTTTAAATTATTATTTTGACTTATTTAGAACTATTCATAAAATTTCTATCTTGTCTTCTTGTCTTAATAGGTTTAAATTGAAATAACATTATATTTTCAATATTTTTACTTACTGCTATGATCAACGTAATATCCTGATAATATTAAAAATTAAATTATTTCGAATTATCTTTTCAAATATTGCTAGCATTATCAATATTCCATGTTGTTACGATAAAATGTATTGTTTTCTCCAAATTGTTACAGACGAATATTGGATTTAGACTATAATTTAGAATTTAATGAGTTTTTTTCATAACAAATAAGTTAGCGAAGGAGAAGAAATTTGATGGCATGAAGATAAAATGATAAGAAAGATTATTATTATCAGTATTATAAGCAAACTATCTCTTCTATGGCTCATCGAACATTTTCTACCGCAATTACAGTACGAAATTTTAAGCAGTAAAGCAGATGACTGAAATTACCTGGAAAATTTTTCTCATCTTTTATCATTTCATCGTTATCAGCATTGTTATCACTGTAATGTATCATTTTTAATTCCACAGACGATCTTTTTTCTTAAAACTGATCTTGTTTATATAGTCTGTCTAATCTATCGGTTCAAAAGATTCAACGCTTATTCACTATTTTCTATCATTATCATTTCTATCGTTAATTATATTCTTCATCAATATATTCTTATCTGATACAAAACATCTAGGCCAGGTTAAACTAAATACTAATTCTAATCACAATTAAGTACACGGCAATTAGCAGAATAACTTTTTATTTTTTATATTCCCTAATCACTATTGCCATTATTTTCGTTGAAAGAAAGGATAAGAAATGCAGGAATGAAAAAGAAAACGACAAAAAAAAATGAAGTCTAATTTATTTTTAAAATTTTTTTTTAAATTTACAATTAGTTAATTTTAATTTTTAAGGTCGGAAAAATGGAGCAGAATCAGTGGAAAGAAAGATAACACTACCAAATGGTACATTAATAACCTTAGCATGTAGGCCAGGTCAACATCGTTGCAGTATAACTTCAGTTCATTTTAACTCATTCGAACGTATGCCAACAATTCTCGAAGAAGCTGAAGTCTGTTCTTAAATTAATTTCAAATTATACTTTGATTTTGAATATGATGACAACTAACAACATCATCCTCATATAATAATTTATGTGGATTATTATAACTCAATTGTGAGTGAATTCATTCAAAATTTTGAAATTATGAATTTTTTTAATTGATTATCTTCTTTTACCTATTTATTTCGCACATCATTTCACGCGAGTTGAATTATAAATTACTAGCAATTATTTTGAGAAATTCATCGAAATACTAATACCAACGATGATTTTATTTGATAAATATAAATTTTGAAAAGATGAGAAAAAAAAAGCAAAAGAGCAAAAAAAGATAAATTGGCATGAATTTATATAAAAAACAAAAAAAAATCATATTTTGAGGGAATTTTTGTAGGATGATATCGAATCACGAATGTCAAATCGAGAATTAAATGAAGCATATACAGTAAATCAACTTACATCGTGATTGTAACATTTTCTTAAATACTAAAATCATTATTGTTGCTTACATTCGATGAGTGAAATAGCAATCGAAATTATCAACGGAAAACAACGAATTATCGAAACATCGTGAAATTAATCTCTGTTGCTTCTGTTACTATTGTTTTTGCTTATCATTAACCTTCATGACATTTAAACTTTTATCATTTAACAAACATATCTAACAGTATAATGAAAATGCTGCATGTTCCGATTACTCTAACAATAATAAGTTTACCAATGGAAGATCATTGTAAAAAACTTCAAATAAAATTATAGTATAATTTTTGGTAGAAATATTGGTATTAATACTATAACTTTAGATCAAAATATACGAATTTCGCAATATTGTCAACAATTCCTTCAATTGATTTAATTTTTTTGCAATTTACAAATACTTAATATTGTACATAAAATATTGTTACCGTAAGGAATAGTAATACCACTGGAAAAAATTTTGAAAGTGTCAATAATGACTCTTCTCATTTAAGACTTTTCCATCAGATATAGTGCGGATTTTGTAGTTGGATACAGTCAGTTGAATCCAATTGCAAGAATTGATAAAAATTGACTTTTGAAATTTGAACGATGCATTCCCAATCCTTGACCTTTAATCTTGAAAGCAAAACAAGTCCGGTATTATTTAAGGGCAGCTTGTATTAGCTGAATTCATTAATTTTCATTTCTACTAGATTGTAACCCTATTATATGATCCATCGGTTATTTTAGCATGATAACTTTGCCTTTATTATCTTATAGTTGCTTTTATTATTTTCTGCGTGGAACCTTCGGCAGCAGTTCATATCATTTTTTCCCGTTTCATACACAAATGAATCAAAAATTGAACATATCAGCATAATTAAATCTCTGCCGAAATTCAGCAATCTAACATGCTTTACTAATGTTTTATGAAACTTCAATATGACGATTTGTATAATTCAATTGTGTATAACAAATTTCAGAAAACAAAAAAAAAAATACAAGTCTATATATACATACATACATACCTAACTCAGTCAGTGCATAAGACGTTGTACTGAAGATGAAAAGATATAACATATATGTAATACAACTTTTTTTGATAACACAAACAAGTGAGCAATGGGATTTAAAATAGAAACAAAATGTAAAATTCGAAAAAATGTAACGTAATTACGCAGGAAAAGCTCTACTACTCACAGCATTAATTTAAAAACCAGTGGTATTTCATTTATAGATTTATAAGATGGCATATTTAGATCTGGGAAATGTAGTTTACTTTCACAGGTATAGTTTAACGGTATGATAAGTCCAATTAATGTTAACAGTAGAGACAATATATGATGAGATTCAAACTGCTTTCATCATATGTACTGATATTGATATGCCAGCAGATCTCTAAGGCTCAATACTTGAATCGACAAGTTAATCAAAGGCAATACAAAACCGTAAGGAAAAAAGAAAAAAAAAATAAAACTGGCAATTTTCCATGAACAGCAATCTGATAGAAATAAGCTAACCTGGAAGTAATTCTTTTGGAATAGATTGGAAAGTCATGTAATCTCTCAGGGATTTCGGAATAGGAAGATCATCCAAAAATCGACCATGTAAGAGCTTTGACGTTCGAAAACACTTCCGCACAGCAAGACGACTTAAGTGTAAAAGTTCAGGAACCTGCAATTTATAAAATTTAAGCATTTAAAGCATACATAAAATTAAGCTTCAAGAAAATTAACCGTTCATTAATTTTCTTGAAGAAAACGCCGTATTTATAATCATGGAATAAAGCCCAATTGTATTAAGAAACAAGCAAACTTTTGATGAAATCCCAATAATTCAAGCACTCCTATATATAGGCTTAAGAGAAATTGCACCTCACTTGGCTGATCCCAACAATCGGAATTTTTCCAAAGCACGACGTCAAACTTCATTATAGAGTGAGTCATAATTTTAGTGAGGAAAACAACTTATGCATTACCTTAGGTTGAGCACCGATAATTTCTGTCACTTGATTACAACAATTTGGTATACCAGGCGAAAAGAACACCAAAAGTTTTATTAATTTATCAACATCTGTAACATATGTCGTCTGCATAACATCATACATCAATGAATAGCCATTTTTGCATTTGCACCAATTCTATAATAGAAAAATTTACTGAAAAGTCATAAACACTGACGCATCTGAATTTCACCATCAACTAAGTTAAAAATCACTAAAAATAATAGCTTCATTTCAAAATATGCTCGTACGACAGTTGTTCATGTTCATGTAAGATTCTACCGACTTAACCAATGAAAATATTCAACCAGATTTAGTAAGGAACAAATCTGCACATGAAGTGGAAGTTTATGGAATGTTGTGAGTAATAATGTATAAAAGGTGGCAAAAAGTTAAATTCATAAAGTACAATAATGACTTAAGAATAACATTTCTTTACCTTCAAAGCCGGATCCAAACCACAACTCAAAAGTAAAAACAGCTGTCGGCGATTACAGGTACCCAAGGCACTTACTAATGCATCTGGTACATCGCATGTTCGCTCAATACTAAAAAAAGACAAAATTTATAAAATTTTAATGGTTTTCGAAACAATTATGGAGATTGTTACTTTTTGAATACTCATGTTATTATTCTGGCCTGAAAAAAGATAAAGTTGGTGCAGACGAGAAAAAGAGGAAAGCTTTTTCGAGCTTTTGCACTTTTAAAATTTTCAGCTCGCTATTTTGTGTAATGTTATAAATTGTAGTTGCAGGAATTCAATTTTTTTTACAATTCCTTAACAATTTTAACTTCAATATTGAGAATAACGATAACCCTGATATCTCTCTATTTAAGGCTACATTACCTCATAGCATTGATGTCAACGTCATTTTCCAAAAATTTGTATAGGATAACAGGATCGATGCGATTTCGAAATGCAAATAAGAATGGCGAAAAACAGTCTTTTACATATGTCATCTAAATAAGAACGTAAAGAGACATACGTCAAGGCGAGCACATATTGTCAAAAATTTTAGATCAAAATAAGGAAAAAGTTAAGGAATAGAAATTCGAAAACAATACGAAATTGTGAATAGCATTTCAATTGCATAAAACAAAAAGGATGAATGCATAAACTAAAAACAGTTACATTTTCTAAACAATTAATTAAAAAATGTACCTTAGCACCAGCCTTAAGAAGTCTTTCAACAATTGAAGTGTATCCTTTCCGAACAGCCTCACGTAATGGCGTATGATATCGACGTGAAAATAACGGCCGCAAATATGGAATAATCATGCCAACTGGTTCACAAGAACACATTGGGACCTAAAAAGATGACTTTATATAGTATTTTTATCATTCTTTATGTAATATTTTCCGATTAGAGTGCCAGAAATCTTTCAGCAAAAAACTGTGCTCATAACTGGTAAACTTAACACAGTTGTATATATAGAGTAAATTAATGTTAAATTTAAACTTCGGTTGAAAAACCAGCATCGAGCAACAAACAAATAGATTCGTATGATCCACTATACGCAGCTGCTGATACTGGATCAACCTAAAAGTAATTTCTTTATCAATAAAATAATTAAACTAAAAGAACATCAATGATTACTTTCGATTTACTGATTTATTCTATGAGATTTCTATATGGACGACTATATTAAACTCAAGCAAAACTGAATTTTAACCACCAAACCAACATTGTCGTATCATTTTCTCATTAACAGCCACATGATAAAAAGAAGGATATCTTAAATCAAAAACACTATGACCTAAAGAGTAATTTTCCCTGTTCTTTCAACTACTATAAAATATTTATTTTTAAAAAATAAAATTTAAACTAACTTCTGTTTCCTTCAACATTTCCTTATTAACATGAGGTATAAGTAACTCCACACACTTGGGGTGATTATTTAGGGCTGCAGCAGCAATTGCATGTATTCGACTACCATCATCGCCCCAAATTGGATGCTGAGTTTTATTACAATCCGCTCCATGACTTATTAGTAATGAAAGAATCTGCAAAGAATTCATTAAATTCCCCGCACAATTACCACATCTTGTAAACACCTAGCTTTATTCAACTAATTCAATCAGATCAATTTAGTACTACTAACACTTCAAAATAAAGTAAATCAAACTTTTCTATTTTGGTATTTGTGATGCATTTCTAAAATTTCTTAAAAAACAATCTTTTGCTGTTTGAAAAACTTACATCTTCAAATCCAGCATCAGCAGCAGCCATGATACAAGTCAATCCATTCTCCACTGATATATCAGCCAATTCAGCTGCTTTATCTATATTAAAATTAAGTATTCCATGTAGCTGTGTTGAAGAAGCAATAAAAATTATGAACAAATGAACTGCATATAGTTAATTAAACTATAGATAGTCAGTTGACATGTTGAAGATAAATTCCGCCTTGAACTTAACTCAAAACATATTAATGACTTTTATTTCCGGTCCAGTAAAATGACTAATAATTAAAAAGACAACCCGGAATGGAATAAAAAATCAAACTAATTTAAATTTTAGAAAGTATATCCAGTTTTTGGAAAAATGAAAACAACTGCACCTCCAGCTACTTCCAAAAGCAATTTTACGCCAGGATAAAAATTTTCTTGCACAGCAACCATCAATGCTGTGTGTTTGTTCGTATCGACGGCAAAAATATCCGCTCCTAAATTGATTAGTCGTCGCATCACAACCTAGAAAATGTGAAAAAAGTCCCTCTGATATTTTGCATTGCTACTGTTTTGGTCCTAAAATGTTTTTTCTTTCTAACCGCCTAGTGAGCCGGCAACGTTTTCATTGCTTTTTACTTTCTGTTTAATGCACCCAAAATTGCATCAAATGGAAAATGAAACGCAATGAAAACTTTGCTAGCGCGATTAAGCATAATATAAGGAATTGAAGAAATTGTCCCGTGAAAATGCACAAATCCATGATTTTGTATTCTAATAAAAGTACCAAATCTTTAGTATCTGCGGATTCATGCAGCGCCGACCATCCATCATACCAAACGTCGAATGGATTGGCTCCTCTGTCAATTAATAATAAAGCCAAAGCAGTGTTTTTAGATTTAATAGCTTGAATCAGTGGGGTCATTTCATCCAAAGTTCGACTATTTGGATTCGCTCCCTACAAAAGATGACTTCGGATATCTTCCATGAATAATCTTTTTCATTATTTTCTTTTTGAAGAAGAAATGTCATAAGTAAGTCTTACAAGACTAATTTTTTTTGATTTTTTTTTCATTTTGATACCAGAGATGTGAAATTTTCAATCAGTTGAAGCTGCCTTTCTAAAAAATAACACTTACCTTGAAAATATTTAAAACTTTAACATATTTATGTGAATTATTCGCTTAAATATATCACACTTTAGAAACAGAAATGTTAACAAATATACATTATCAAGAAGGTATTGCGCTACTTCAAGAGCTTCATCATGCCTATACGACATGCGACAAACCAACATGAGCGGTGTAACAGAATCATGCGCCTCAGCATTCACATTACAACGTCCTTAAAAGAAAGGATTGAAGTGACAATATATGGTAAAAGCTAGGTAAGAAAGAAAAGAATTGAATTTTTGGGAAAGAAATAATGTTCAATGTAATCATCTCCCACCTTTTATTTTAATACACTATCACCATGTTTTGCGTAGATGAAGACAATGAACAAGCCAAATAACTCATTAAATAATTAAACTGCCAAAGAACAATACAGAGCAAAAAACTCGAACATTCTTTTAAATCAAAAAAAAATCAGTACAGTGACGAATTAAAAATTATGTAAGCCTCTATTTTGATTGCTTGATTGAAGATATTCTATTCCTTTTTTTCTAGGAATGAAAAACGACTGTTAATTACAAAATGAGATGGAAGAACGTCGGGAATAACTAGTATGTCATGATCTTACTTTTAACAAAACTGAGCAAAAAAAGACATCTTACCACTATCAACAAGCACTTTACAACATTCCAAATGCAATCCATAAGCAGCTTCATGAATTGGCCACCACGAACGATCATCCGGAAATGCTCCATATCCAGCATGCAGCAGTTGTTGTGTCAGCTCAACATTACCCAAACGACATGCAACTCCTACCGTTACGTTGCTTTCTACCACAATCGGTTCCTCTTCAAATCCCTGAATATTGCAACTGGTCCAATTTGATTTCGTTTAAACAATCACAATCATAGAAAATATAATGCAGAAAATTTCAATAAAACACTAATCCGTAATTTATGCAAAGAATCTTCATTGTTTCAAAAAAACTCCTTTTTTTCTTTACAGAAATGTTAACGTAAAACAGAATGCATCATTAGTTTCTGATTTTTACTTATTTATAAACATCATTATTCCATATCAATAGTAATGAATAGTTTATCATGAACACTATCATTATTATTGTTTTTCTAAAAGTTAACAACAATTAATTGGAAAAATGAATCTACGAGATAGGAAGTTTATGGAACAGAAAACAAACCACATTATTATTACAAACTTTCTGTGCCACGTGTAACTAAATGATGAGATGGGTATCGAATGTATGCGATTTCTTGATAAGAAATAGAAAAAAAAAAACAATGCTTCAGAAATCACGAAATGAAATGACACAATCAATTCATATTGCATTCACGCAGCATGTGCTACACGTTGTCCAGAAGAATGCTGTGATACATGCAGAATGTGACCCGCAATTACATAAATGATGTATATAATACAAAAATTATAACTTACCCGTCTCATTGGTAATCATATCCAGTCATTAATAAGTTGATTCCCATAAATCCGATATTCTCCGGAAAATACCACAGCAAGTACTCCATCCTCTTAAAAAATCAAGCTTTCAAGCAATTCTACTCCGCAAAAGTCGCAAAAAAATAATCGGTTTTTCCGCAAAACCGCCACAGCGGTTCATTCCGCGATTTCTATCTCAGCCTACACATCATCACGTGTGCAATGTCTCTCTCCTCCTCTCTCCACCCCACAGTTATGCTACCACAGTAGAAATTACATTCCGCATCATTCGGCGTCAATGTTTCACGTACGCGGCCCATTAAATAATTCGAGATCGCGCTGCGCCAGTATACAATGATGTCATTCCAAATCTACCGGCATTAACGAGATATTTTCGTTGCGTAACCGATGAGATTTTAGAATTGCTCTAGCCATTATTTCATATTCATCCCCGATTCTCGGTTTCTTCTCCGAATTCCCGATACGCTCTTCTATCGATTTATTAGGTTATCATATCGTTGAACTGCAAGCCTTTTAATATCTCATGTCTTTTTACGTTCTTTCATTTTTTTTTTAGCTCATAAATCGTTATTCCATCGGTTGACAGATTATAGTGTCAAATTTAACAGTATTTTTTGGTTATCAAAGAAATATGAAATCATTTTTTTCTAACGGTAAAATAAAATTTTACTTCAAAAAATAGCACGAACAATTAAAGCATTTTATTAAAATACAAGTTTAATTCATGTTCGTTTCGTAAATTTGATCAGATCATTTCCGATAAGTCGATATGATTGCTGACGTTTAGGGTGTTTTTGTTAATATAAAAGTGGGAAAGCAAAATATAATTTTATAATTCCTTTTTGGACATTAATGAAAAGTTAATGCTGAAATTGGTGATTGTTATTGTTTTTGATACTTTTTTTATCGATTGTTATTTATGAAGGGTTGCATTGCTAGCACAAAAAGAAAAATTTTCATTTTATCCCAAAAAAAAATCACTTTTTATTTATTTTTATAAGAGAAATAGTTTAAACTACTTATATTGTTGAAATTACATGATTTTAAATGAACTGAAGAGAGCCAAGATGATGGTGATTATTGACCGACTCAAATGACCGGATGACCTCACTAACCATTAATATTCAGGAGAGATGGATGTAATTCGAAGTAGTCCGTTCTTCAGGTTTCTTTCTTTATTACATTTGATTTCCATATTTTTTTTATTTATTAAATGATGTCTTCAATTTTAGAATTTTTTCATCTTTCGTAAAATTTCTAATTCTTTTTTTTTCTTGCAATTCAATGATTTAGTGATGATGACATTTTAATATAAAGCAATGCAAAATTAGTGAAATCATAAAATGCATTTCTAACAGATATGAAACTCTGTTACAAAAACATGTTAAGAATACGTCAAAAATTAACACTTTCCACGTAAAATATCAATAAAACAATGACTTTTTATGTTTCAGTGTTTTTTGTGAGAAGAAATTACAGAATATGAAAATGATCACTTTTTAACATGAAAAAAAATTTATTACAAATAATGTTAATAATATAAGAATTTATTCTTCGACTGTATTACGCACTTCGTTTATATACGACGAAGTTTTATATTCCTTGAAATATCAAGTTTATACAACATCAATAAAAGATGAGCAAGAAAGTAAGCGTAAATAATCAAAAACAGCAAACGTTTAAAATTAAATAAATTTTCAGTATGAATTAAAAAATCATCTTATATACATGTTCCCATCATCTGTAGGGTCTTTTTTTAGGTGTAAAATAATTTCATTAGTACTCAAAAGATGGTACTATATGAAAAAATTTGAAAGTATCTTTTATTACTAATTCTTAAATTTTAATTTGAAGCATAGTGTAACAAAATCTATTAGTCAAATAAATGCGGAAAATAGCAAACATAATTCTAATATTACTAATTAAATGGTAATATCCTTAATTTTATACTGCTACCTGCAAAGGCATGTCGATGAGCAAGGAAGAAAATTCTAATTCATACAATTTATAGTATAAAACTGAAATGAAATAAGATCATCACTTTGAAGTCAGAAGTAAATTTCGTTGTCAATATTCTTAGAATAAACCATATATCATCCATTTTCAAAACCAACCATACGCATCATTCAATATCCTGCAAATCAATCAACTATCTCATTTTGTTCATTCAGATCAAAATTGATCATGACCTCTGCAATATATCATTACCTATCAGATGGTTGAATAAATAGATGACCTACAATATTACCTATCCAGTGATTACACGATCTACACTCTATCACGTAATTGAATGATTGAATAATCTACTACATTATCTACAGTGAATGGATGATCAACAGTTACAAATGTTTCACCGATAGGGTAATTGATTTGAAACTCAGCTAACAAATAAATTAATAACAATTTTAGGACAAAATATATCAATGAAGGAAAAAAAACTAATGTCCAAATTTCCCATGCAATCCACATTACCAACACGTCACAAAAAAAACAATCCCAGTAATTCGCATTTCTCATCCTGAATATCAACATGTCACAAAAAGGACATTCCCACGTAATTCACATTTTCCATCATATCCAAATGTCCATTTAAAACACAAAAATACACAATCCTCTCCCATCTCCCTAATTTTCTCTATTCGCACGTTACAAGCACAAAATGCACGTCTCCGTCCCCTCTTCTATAGAGAGTAATGCTGCTGAGATGAGCTCAGAAAAGGCAAAAGGAGGATAGCGTGAGAAAGAGTACTGTACACTGTTCCCTTCATCTCACACTCTTTCCTTTGTTCATCCACATTACCGTAACCTTTCCTTCATTGCCAAATTGATCAAAGCGCTATTCCTCCCATTATTATTGAGCATTTCCGCATGTAAGCCATCTCTCAATCATTCGGTTGTTGCATTTATTCGTTAGCGGGTGATTTGCACATTGGCGCTATTCATTAGTTATATTTCATTTTAAGACATCCGATAATTATTAGCTAACAGAGTTGTCACATTTGTTTTTTCAGTTAAGATAATGCTTTATTTATTTGTTGTATTTATCGAATATCCGGTTGAGACATCTCCATTCATAATCCGTGCGTTATTTGACGCATAGCAGACGTGAACAAAACATGAGAAATTAGCATTTTACAAAATCGGTTTCGGAATAATGGATTCAGCCGTTGATAGGTTTGATATCTTCCTGAGATTGCTGTTCCGGTACTCTCGGATAATGCTAAACTTCTCAACTTTTAAGCAGTTATAATCAGTGTATTTTCTTGTATTGTATTGCAATTTTTGGCTAATAACACTCGAACCGGTAAACAACTGTAAGCAACAATTAAAAATGAAAACTGATGAATGATATCATTGAAGTTGAAGTAATTTAAGGAAAACGGAAATTCCAATTGTATTACATTGATGGGAAATGTGTAATGTTTTAAAACAGTGCTTATTACTGTCTTTGTAATTTTACGTCAAATTAAATGACGCTTGAAAAATTTAGAATATGTAAATGTTTAGGAAAATCGAGGTATATTTCGCGGATTATGATAAAGTACGGACTGTCAATTCATAGTCCGCGAGAACATGTGGAAGTTGATAAGTTATTTGCTATATTAGTAATTCTTCCTCGCAATTTTCATAATCCGAGACTTGTTGTTTCAGAAGAATATACCTTTTTTGTTTGTTACATCACCAAATTCTCTTAAGTTAATGTTATTTTTTTAAAATCTATGCATTTAACGTCCCACCGTATTTGTGAGCTTTTTATTTTCCCGCATGAAAAAGTTAATGAATATTGGATTGTTTCAATTGAACTTCTTTATTTTATATGTTTAAACTATCCGTCAAGATTGGTGTTGTTCATTTTACTAGAAAATAGATAAGTTTTAAATATGTCTTGAATGATCTCGTATTTTGACATGGGCGAGTTTTGATCATTTATACGAATTCAATTTATTCATTTTTCTCAATATACTTTTCCTTTTATTCCAGTTCTAACTATCATACATATATTACTAACATTCAAAATGCTATCAACTGTCAGTCCTCAAAGAGCCGTAGTATCATTACACACCGGACAGCTAACAACACCACCACTTTTCAACCATAAACAACCTGTAATGGAAGCTGCTGTTCCTGTGCAGTTACATCATTTACTCAGGAAATGTTATGGTCTCGAAGAGGGCGCCGATTTGTATATTATACCCAATAATCCTAATAAGTTAGTTCGATTTTTTATCTTCACTTCTCTTTTTTCTTTATCTTTTTATTTTTCTTTCCTACTCTTTTTTTGAACTTTAATGATTATTTTTGAGTGAAAAAGTGTAACATGTAGAGGAAATGATTAGGAATTGGATTTGCTTTTTTTGTAAATTTCATGCAAAAAAAAAATTTTATTAAAAGCTTTCACCATCTTTAAAAGGCCAGATATTCAATTTTTTAACTATTGTATGATTAATAGAGATATTCTTTAGTGAATTATAATTCATTCAGATTTTCCTGTGTTAACATCGACTTATTTAATATTAACTGTCATACTGGACTTTGATTTATTCAGAGTATTTGTATGTGCCAAGAATTCTTTGATACGATTAAGGAAATATTTTTATACCGAGGTGAATGGTACATTTTGGAATGGTAGTTATTGTAGCGGTTATAATATTGCGTATATTTTAGGCTTTTTGTCTTCTATCGAGGACAGTTGCGAATGGTCGATTTATCTGCATGGCAAGCAATTCAGCAGGTCAGTATTTCCCCTGTAATAGTTCGGTATATATATTTGGCAATTAATGAAATGAATCAGCAACCAAAAGGAATAATATATTCGCATGTATAGTTCATACAGGAAGCACTTGCCAAATCTTTATACATAAGGCTAAGACTGGAAAGATGTCTTCAGGGCTATGATTCCATTTATATGTATATTTGCATAACTATAATCTTCATACTATTATTTTCATCTAACTGGAATCGGTTTTATAATTCTTAAGTCTTTCTCAAATCATTGTTTTGAATCTTGTTTTTATAGTACACTTCTTGGTACATCTGTTCGTTTCAATAAATCGCTTACGTTCAATTATAACCATATATGTAAGAATAAGAACATGTGTCTTTTTTTTATATGCATATCACTTCTGGATTATCTAATTTATCATTTTACAGCCGTTTAGCAATGATGATTTGAAAGTAAGTCCTAAATCATCTTTGGAAGATGGAGGAGGGAATGGACGAGTAGTTCCACCTGTAACACCAGTTACACCACGTCGAACACCTTCAACGATAGCAGTATGCCTGTTTTTCATTTATTACTTTACTTGCCTCGTTAATTTGGATTTTCCGAGCTAAATTTGTTTAGTTCAGAATTTGAGGATGGTCACTGTGGCCTGATCCTTGTTAATAAATATTGACTTATTGGATCTTTTTAATGTTCTTGTTTTAGCATCGTGTAAATGAACCGGAATGGCATAAAGCGGTTTCTGATAAAGAACGAGAATTACTGCAAAAAGGTAAGTTCATTTCATATTGAGTAAGGCTCTAGATTCATTTTTTTTCATCTCAATTTCCAGAACGTCGTCGGAAGAGCGCGTATAAAACTTCACTTTGCAATGCATTCCGAGATACTGGACAATGCGCATATGGTTTGGAGTGCCGGTTTGCACATGGTATTGATGAATTACGTCCTACACCAGGGGTTATTTTTTTTTTTTGTATGCATAAGTAAAGTTTAATTTTAGGTGCTGTTCCTTCACCTTTTTTTCTCTTCGTTGGTTTTTTTTAAACAGAAAGTTATCATTAAATGTACAATAAATCACGTCTAATATTTCTTGAGAAATACTTCATTAGCAGTTTGTCAGTAATGTAATTTTTTGGTATTTCTGCACTTTTCAGCCACATCCAAAATACAAAACACAGCTATGCAACAAGTTTGCCTTATATGGTTCATGTCCATACGGTAGTCGCTGTCAGTTTATTCATATGCGTCCATATGAAGTGCAAAATGATTTGGTAGGTTTCGATTGGTTGTTTGGTAACTGTGAAATATACAACTCTTTAAATTGTCAGTCATGTTCGCTAATTCACAACTGTAATTTTGGTTTCAACATGACCATAGATAGGAGGTAGTTGTATTTCATTTGTGAAAGGAATTTACAAATACGATTGTTTTTGAGATATTACTTACTGGCTGATTAAGCTATAGCTGTTAATATTCGCTTGGTTTCTTTGAAAATTTTTAATGAAGGAATGTGATATTTGTTTTTAAAATTTCTAGCACATATACTATAACTTGTCTGCATATTTGTTTGTAGGGATTCTGAAGTTTTGGACAATTTTAGGTTCATATGAATTTTACGGCAAGTCTCGATGATGGTGGCAAGCATGCATTGCATTATCGGCATTATTCAAGGGGTACAAGGCCGAGGTTATTAATCTGTATTCATAGTAATTTAAAAAATTTTTTTTTACATTGGGAAAGGAATATTGTTCGGTTGCTCGGCAACTTTAAAAATAAAAAGTAAATATGAAGGTATATTCACAAGCAAACCCACTCAGAATATTATTCTTAAAATAGATTGTTACGACGTTACGATGGCTAAAGAGTGTCAAACATGTAGTTAGCGCTAGTGTTGAGATTTCATTGAATTTCTGATCATGTTCTATGAAATCTAAATTTTGAAGCATGCGGTTCCCTAGTGTAGCAAAAATCATCGGCCGCATGAAAAATCTTAGATGAATTTTAGGTATTGTGCAACGAATTCATGTGTTGTTGAGGTGACAGGATCGGAGCGCTGCGATTCGTTTTCGCAGCAATATTTTAATTCTGATAATAATTTGCAGACTGTTGGAATACCATCGAGTAGCTGTAACTCAGAGGCTGTTCAGGTTTGTAATTGTCTTGCTTTAACAGAATACTTATTCATTCAGTCTTTGCTGATCTGTACAAAATAATTGATAAGTTCAAAGAGTTTTTTGTTTGCAATATTTCAGACTTGTTGGCATCAATATCGGCCTAATGCTGACGTAGCGGGTAATGTTGAAAGAACACTGAGCGCTTTTTCGATGGCAGGCTCGAATGGATTGAACTCTGACATAACTGCGGTGGATGATTTGTTTAGTACAATGTAAGTTGGTATCACGTTTTTTTTTTTTAAGTTGTTGATTTTCCTGGTCTTTTTTCACTGAAGGTTGATGCATTTCTGATTTACAGTACAGATGTTCTGTTAGCATAAGTGTTTCGAGTTTGAACAACTTTATATCAGATTTTTGAAATTATTTGCAGGAGTATTGGTGAACTCAATAATCCATTTACACAGTCATGTTTTCCACGAATAAATCTTGAAACTGTGGTGGGAAGGACGCGACCGTGAAATTTTTTGAAAATATAGTTTATTGGCATTTTTTTTCGACTGCATTAACGTTGTTACCTATCATAAATAGGTATCAAATTTGATATTTACTAAAAATGTGAGGATTCTAATTTTTTCTTTGAATTTTCGAGAAATTGTTCGACAGTTGAAACGTTGTATATTTGTTGTGGCACATGTGGACATCACCTATTGTATTTGTTTATTTGTAAATGTTTTATTTCCATTCGTAGCTTAAATTTGGTTATTTTGTTATCAACTATCATCATTTTACTTCTGTTTTTCTGTATGTGTGAGCGATTTAGTTTTTATGCTCAGTAATGTGCAATGATTTGATCTTTTCATTATTTTCCATATATGCTTTGTAAGTTTTTGGGTTATATTTTTTATTGTTACTTTTTATTGATTTCATTTTTTTACCTTACCATTTTGTGTATTACATATGTCATTGTTTTTTTTATTTCAGAATGGTTTACAGAATGTCTTCTCTCCTGTAAAATTCATGTTTTCCCTTATTTTTCTTTTCCTCTTCACATCTCTATCATGAAGTATAAAATTTACGAACTATATATGTTATTTATCGATAGTTGTTGGTAAACGTTTTGAGAGGATCAAATTCTGTCATTTCATATCAACATTTTTTTTTTATTCCAAGACTGTTTTATGAAATATATTGTTTGGTAAATTTCTTAAATTTTGATGCTAACAATGAGG